GTGGAAAAAGGGTACTTCCCGTGGTGAGGGGACAGGAGGTCACCATTCGTAAAATGGACAGGGACAACTTGGATGGCCAGATGCGTTCATTGCCCAAAGAAGGAAGAGAGTTTGATTCGAGAGAGCCAAACACAGCTGTCAGAGTTCCTCCGTTTCAGGGTGTAATGATATCTTAAAAAAAAAAAAAACGAAAGGCAAATAAGTTGAGAAATGTACCCTACCCTCGGTAGGGTAGTTTTCTCAATGGAAAATGGCTTCCCGCCCAAACCAAAAGGGCCAACGCATGCTACAAAACGGATTTCACGTCAAAGAAAAATTCTACAAAATGACCAAATCTAATAGGTTATTCTCCTGTATTTCGGTACCCTTAGATTCTCAATACATCAACGGCAGAGCTCCGTCCCACCATGCCACACGTGATAGAAAGCTCACCGTTGAGAAAACTCAACTTTGGCGGTGGGACTTCACCCCTGTAATTTGGCTGTAACTAATACTAAATATATTCCAACAGTAGTCACACTCTTCTAGCCTTTTATTAAAAAAAAAAAAAAAAAAAGTTCCAACAGTAATCGCACTCTTCTAGCGTTTTCCTTTTACTACACTAACTGGTTAAACGACCAGTAGTTGGCCCAACTATCGGCCACATGAACAACAAAAAAAAAAAAGAGCAGAAACGTTTCTAGTCGGATGAATTTGGGCCCTCCTGTAGTGGCCCGTACGTTTGCTAAAACCGTGTCTCGTTAACGCGCACGACTTTAGGACGTACTGCAGTGGTTTAATAGTGTTATAACTTATATTCCGTTTGTGTGCTTCACATCATTGGTGGTGGACACTGGTAGTCGTTGTGGAGAACAGATTTACCACAGTAGGCCTGTTTTTCTTCTTCTTCTTCTTTGTGGACCAACTTATTTACTACAGTAACTTCAGTAAGCCTGTTTTTTTTTTCTTAAATGTGGAACAACAGATTTACCGCTCATTCTTCGACCCGAATGTGGAGCTTTTTCTATTGGTTCTTGCGACTGTGCCGACATTGATAATGTTGTTAGAATCGCCATTATTCCGGGCCTTCACCAAGCCCGATGTCGAAGATGCTGCGACCGCAGAGGCCCGGTTTCGATTTGTTGATGTAAGTCCATACCCCCTCTTACCTCCTCTTTCCAGCAATTGAACTCCTCCTTTTTTCTTTTTCAATACAAGTTCTTCGTCCCATTCTTCTTTCTTTATTTTTTCGTCGTTCTTTCTTTC